GGTGGTGGCTGAGAGGAGAATGCTGACCAAGCTCACAGCCATCATGAACAATGCCTCTCATCCGCTTCATGGGACTGTTACTGGGCAGCAGAGCACATTTAGCAACAGACTGCTCCAGCTACGGTGTTCAAGGGAACGTTTCCGCAGGTCTTTCCTCCCGGCGGCTGTCAGGGTGTATAACGCTGCCCTAGGCTAGGACTGTTAGCCCTTCATTTGCTCCTCTATGGACAGCATGTTTACTCCATTGTACTTTTTGGACAATCAGTCTGTATAAACCTATGCACATTTTGCACATATTTTATTTTTACAATGACTATTGGCATATTTTGCATACACCTATGTATTTGTTTATTTTTATTTATCTTGTTTGTCTTTTGTTTTATAAATATTATGATGTCTGTTTTGCTTGTCTTGGGCTGGACTGCTGTAACACATCAATTTCCCTACGGGATTAATAAAGTATTATCTATTACTGATAGAACTATGAAAAACAAAAGGCTGCAATTCAGATACGTTCCACAAGAGGGCACAATACAGTCATTTATTAAGGAGAATGTTACAAGTGCGGAATTATTTTTGTAATAGTCAAGTAATAATTTCGTTACCATTTCAGAAGTAGTGACTATATCACAAGTTCAGAATTTTAGTATAGTTTTCAAGTTCTAGCTTTTATTAACACATATCAAGGGGGTAATGCTAATACAATGCACAATACCTAATTTAGGATATTGAGAACAATTTGCTTCACTATGGTCACATCCGTCACCATGTTTCAAAACTGTTACGGCTTTGAGAAACTAGGACCCTTTCAGTACTATCCTAGAGGGAGTGTACTACTTTGACAGTCTAAAGGAACTGAAATAATTCTGTACAGAGAAGACAACAAGTGGACCTTATTGAAATCTTTAAAACCAAGCAGACTTTGTAAGAATCAACAGTGAAGAGATTTAATTAAACCTGAGATGAAGAGGCACGTTTTTACTCAAAGTGTTGTGGGAGTGTGCCACAAACTACCCCTCCATATTCTTAAAGCTGCTACACTAGCATTTTTCAAGAACAGGGTGAAAGTTCTCAGGTCAATCAACTACTGAAAGCCAAATGAGCAAGAGGATCCTAATGAACTCCTCTCTTGTGTTCATATTTCCTTACATTTTGCTGTTGACTTCAGGGTTTAGATGTTATTTAAAATCATCTTCGAGAGAAATGCACTTTTTATAGACATTACAGAAATATGACTTTTCATTAACTTGCACAATAAGTAATTATTCTTATGTAGAATATAATTGTTATTAATAATCACCTACTAAGGTTTGAATTGCTATAAAATATCTTAAATAATGGCATTTCCCTGCACTATGTGTTGTATATGAAATGAAAAGAGGTCTAGTTCCAGTACTAATTGTCCCCTTGCATAAGTAAAATATAAACCAGTGAGAATTTTTGTTCATTTGAATGTGACAACAAGAACGTCTGCTAGGAATTGTTGTTTTTTGGAATGGGTTATAATTCACTTACAACACATCATTCACATTTTACTCTCACAGAGATCATTTAAAAGTAGAATTTCTCTCTCACTTAGAATGCAGAATTTGTTTGAAAATTTATGACTTAAAGACGCTCTGTGAGGCATCTCTTCCAACTTCAAAAAATAGCAGGAGGGCCCGATTGATACACAGATTGTTACTTTTGTCATATTCTTTAATCTATTTTCCAAGTCTGTTGAAGACATGTAACTTCTCAAAGATAAAAATGCTTTGGATGATCTACGTTGAAAGTGTATGACACTTGACTTCACTGACCATTACAGATAATATTTAGGATCACAAACTAAGACAATGATAGTTTCATAACCAGTGTCACTGAAATTAATGTAGCTTTCTTAGGTGGTAAATTCTTACAATTATTTTGTATCTTTTAATAATGAATTCTCTTACTTTCTTTCTTTCTTCTTGCTGCAGTATTAAGTGAACTGTACTGTCCCCTACTGTACATGGGGATGAGGAAGTCTTCTTCCATTCAGTCCACCGTCACCTCACACACAAAATAACTTTGTGCAGGTACAAATTTGTGGAGTTTATAAAAAACAAATGATGTGTAACAAGCCTTCTGTGAGTGTAATTTGATTTTAAAAGACTGAAATATCAGAAAGAATGCATACAGTATCTAAATCTTATCTAATAGATTGTGTGTATACTTCCAACAAAACAAGCAGGCAAACTTGTGAAAGTGAAGTTAATTTAAGAACTGTGAATCTTATTTATCAATTTATTTATGAAGCTTGGAGTGCCTGTCTATGTGGAGTTAGCATGTTCCCCTTAGATTTGCTTCTGATTCGTCCTACCACCTAAACAGGGGCTATATATACAATGAAAATAAATGAGCACAACGGACCAAATGTCCTACTCTCTCCTGCGTCTATTCTGACAAATGTTTTTTCCAAGCAGACTGGTGCATTGTGTCAATCGACACAGTAGTGGCTCCAGTCCAGTAGATTCTGTAGTACGTTCCTTGCCAGAAGAAGCAAGATTAGAAATCTTGTGGTGAGATCACACAATAAACATACTGTGATCTATTAAAATAAACAAAATACTAACAACCAAAAGCAAAAAAGGAGAACATTTGCAATACCCACTTTGATGTGATTAGACTTAGTAGTTCTAAGACAAAAACAATTTCAGTACATGCAAGATAACGCAGCAACAAAAACCTTAATTTCACCAGAAATATTGGTCTTTCAGGACCATCACAATTGCTGCAAATAATAATGCAAATGATTTAATATTATCTAAAATATATTATCTAAAATGTTATCATAAAAACGTAAGCACCATTCACTCAATTTTGAGTCACATACCAGAAAACAATTCAAGTTGTTCAGAATAATATATACAAAGAACTTGAAACTGCAAAGGTACTTAATACATTTAATTTTAAAAAAAGTTTGTTAACATTATATTAATTGTATCAACTAAACTAATTGCAGCAACAAAAAACACTGTATATTAGATCAATTTGTGTAACCTCAAAAGAGAATGTGTCATTTCAAAGTCCATTTCAGAATATTCAGCAAAGGTGCTTAAGAAAACAGAAAGTTACAAAGGTGAGAAAGTTCCTCTAATTAAAATCGTACATCCCTAAAACAGGAAACTGAATTATGCTGTGGCTTATATACTGTGATTAAAATACATTTTATCATGGAGGTATTTGTGTAGTTTATGCAAAAGAATTAAATAGAACAGTTCAATAATACATATAAAGGATAAAAATTACATTAAGCCACAGTACATTTTCTTAGATTTAATAACACATGAGAGGAATATACAGTAAATAAAAAACTACAACAACAGAATTCATTTTATAATAAAAATAATTCAAAAAGACAAAATTGAACAACATTAGAGAAAAATAATTCACAATAAATCTGTAACTTAAATCATTCTTGTATAAACAAAAACATCAATTTTTTATTTATTCATGTTAAAGGTCTAATGGCACACCAAAAAACTGTAGTTTAAATCTTTAAAACTGGTTTTGAAATGGGGAGTATCTGATATCAACGTTTAAATACTTTGGAATATCATTATTACGCCTCTACTACTTTGATTGTAATTGTGTATAGTATATCCAGGTTGATGCTGCACATTTGTGGTGGTGGAAGGGAGTCCCCATTATCTGTAAAGCACTTTGAGTGGAGTGTCCAGAAAAGCGCTATATAAGTGTAAGCAATTATTATTATTATTATTATTATTATTATTATTATACACAATTACTGCTGCATGTAACAACCTCTAACAACCAAAACTTAGAATATCAAAGGATGCCCTGGATAGCTGTGTATTCATTCTTGAAAAAGCACGGGGAAATGTGAAAAACGACCTCTGCCATCCACAGTTACTAAATACAGCTTATTACACAGCAAGTACATTTCTCCATTTTAAAATATAACACCATTACTTTTTTCGCAAACAAGATGTCAGAAAAAGCTTTCACATTGGCTTTACCCCTCATTTCTTTCCAAAAAACATGTCCAAACAGTCTCTAAGAAGCTGTTCTTTAAGAACCCTGTATGATAAAGAAATACTATGTTAATACAGTGCTGAAGTGTACATTTTGTTCCTCAATTTATCACTTACATTCATAAGGTGAACTGAATTTACAAATGTCCTGTTGTATATTTCTGCCTTGGTCTTTACACCACAAAAGCACCAGGAACCTTTGTGCAAAACGCACACTAGAAGATAGGACTTGTGCTGAATTTAATTTGGCTGTAGTAATAAATGTCTGTGGTTCAGAGAAATACTTACTTAAAACACTAAATATGAGCAGCCATATCACCCTGCAACTCACAACTGGCAACCCACTGAAGCTAAGCAGGTGTGAGACCAGCCAGTACATGGATGGGAGACCTCCTGGGAAAACTAAGGTTGCTGCTGGAAGTGGTGTTACTAAGGCCAGCAGGGGTGCTCACCCTGCAGTCTATGTGGATCCTAATGCCTGAGTATAGTGACAGGGACACTATACTTTAAACAGACGCTGTCATTCGGATGAGACATAAAACCTAGGTCCTGACTCTCTGTGGTCATTAAAAATCCCAGGGTGTTTCTTGTAAAGAGTAGGGATGTAACCCCGGCATCCTGGCCAAAATTTCCCATTGGCCCTTATCAATCATGGCCTCCTAATAATCCCTGTCTATGAATTGGCTTCATTACTCTGCTCTCCTCCCCACTAATAGCTGATGTGTGGTGAGCGTTCTGGTGCATTATGGCTGCCGTCGCATCATCCAGGTGGGGCTGCACATTGGTGGTGGGGAGTCCCCATTACCTGTAAAGCGCTTTGAGTGGAGTGTCCAGAAAAGTGCTATATAAGTGTAAGCAATTATTATTATGATTAAATAGTGATAAAAATGGGGAAAAACCTCACATTCAAATTCTAAAAAAAATGAAAATGGCAAAAGAATTCTGGTAACAAAAACATTGTGTACAAACGGGTTTAAATTGCACAAAGTAAATTAATACTGTAATGACCAGTATCTCAATGACTGAAGATAACATACCTGTCAACTTCTAGCATTATTTCATGTATATGCATCTGAGTGTATACATTAATCCATATTTGTTCATTAGTGTGAGCAGTCCTTAGAATTGATCACTCTACTGGACCATTATGGTTCCATTGTTGTCATTAGTAACTGTTCATTTGTCCTTGAGTCTTGACCCCTAAAGCCCCTGCAGGGACATAAAAGGTGCATCAATTTAGCTTCAGGACCACACATGTAGAATATGATTTAATTTCTACACCTAAATAAAATAAGGTCAAGGTTATTGTAATATAAATAATCTGGAAATGTATCTGATTTAAGAAGTAAAAGCACAAGGAAGCACAGGTTTAGACTGAAAAAGCAACCAATAATGCATTTGTAAGAGTGAAATGTCGCTCCAATACACACTTTTAACTCGATTTAGAAAACAAGCTGTTCCAGTGAATTATCTGAGCACTAGCGGGTGTATCTTCCTGAAGATTTTCCCCAAAAACAAGAACAAGCATGAATCACGAGAGTGCTCACCAATTTTTTCTTTGGTTTTGTTTTTTGTAACATCAAATGAGTTGCATCTCTTAATCAAGCACATTGGGGGACATTCTCCATTTCTGTCACACCCACTCCGATCGCCTCTCTTGCAGTTCACTACAACCGGACTGTATATCAGAGGTGGTCATTTGCACAAGTGTGTACTGGCCTATTCTCTTGGCACAAAGATCTGTAGAGATGTCTGCCTCCCCTGCAGGGACTCTTTCCCTTAAAAGAGAAGGAGGTGGTCTCAGACGACCATGCTTACAGTACTTGCCAGACATTCGAGGCACTCCCTTAAGCTCGCTCATACAAAGTGCCACTTCACTGCCTTCCTGATCTACATCTTCCTCCTGGTTCTGCCGGTAGTCATTATTGCTGTTGGTGTTGGATCCAGCTGCACGTTGGGAGAGAACGTCCGAGGGCTCCGATGAATTATCAACCTCTTCCAATCGCGCAGACATCGCTCCGTCCAAAGTTGACTTGCTTGTCCTTCTTTTATGAAAAGCAGCAGAGGCAACAAGCTCTTGAGTCAGCTGTATGTGTGAGTCTACATTGGCGCTGGCAGGAGAGAGATAGTACTCCTCTTCTTCACACATTTTTTCCATCAGTAGCTTATTTTTATGCTTTTGCCTCAAAGATCTTTTGATCACACAGATCAGGTCGGCAATATTCAGCAAGAAAGACAAGGCGCTCACCCCGAACATGAAATTCAGCATCACTGTCTTCTCTGTAGGCCTGGAAACATAGCAATCCACCATACTGGTGCAAAGCATCTCATAGCAAATGTATCTCTTTGGAATAAAAAACCCAAATAGGTAGTACTGGCCAGCACCAAATCCAGCTTCAAGTAAAATCCTCAGCAACAAATGGAAGATGTAAGCCCCTAAGAAACTGTGTATCTTCCCTTGTTCAGCCTCCAAAGCAATTTTACTTAGGGAAGCTTTCCTGAAGGTTTCTTGGTGTATTTTGTAATGGGAAGTTGTTTTAATTCGGTCTGAAACACAGCGGTCAATGGCAGCCTCTGCAGATATGTGATGAACCACGTAGATGATGAACATGGCATAAGGCAGACAGAGGGTTATGATCTGAACAAGCCAAAATCTGAAGTGAGAAAGAGGAGAGAACATATCGTAACACACATTGGAGCAGCCTGGCTGGATGGTATTGCAGACAAACCGTTCTTGCTCATCTTGGTACAGTGGGTATCCAGCAAAAAGGACGACTAGAAACCGGAGCATGATCATCAGGGTTAACCAAATTTTCCCTACAACAAAATAAATAGTAAAGATTTACAAAGTAGTCAACAAAAAGTATTGTGAAAGTGACACAAAAGGTGTACAGTAGAGTGTAGGATAAAGTAAAGGAGGGTGTCAAACAAGAATAATATTGGACTCCCTACAACCACCTGTTGAAGATTTTGGAGAATAGTTCTGTATTTTTTCCCCCATTTTTGACCTAGGAGTATTCCAAAGCAAGGATTAAATTTCTGTGCTCTTTATGCTCTTAATTTGTAAAAATGTTAATTATATCAGGTGAACAGTTTTTGAATTCTTATTAAAGTCCTAATATGGCCTTATACAGTGGATTTGCTAAACAAACATTTGTCAGGATCAAATAAATGCTCAATGCCCTGGCAGTCCTTTGTATACCAATTTTTAAATTCCAACACAATAAGCCATCCTGTTCTGGAAAAACAACTTGGCAGCTAGGCAACATTGGCTTAAAAACAGTTCACAGCAATTTAATAGATTCATAAAAGAAGAAGTGGTCTGGTAATATGCAATGTAAATTATTCATTGCCTTAGGTGCAGAAACGTATAGCAGTATGTGATTTGTAATTTTACAGTTTTGTAATTTGCTGTAGTTATTTTTTCCTGTGACCAACCAGATTAGCTATGCATATCCAGTTATTCTCTGAGGTATAGGCACCTCTTAAACAACAAATTGTGTTAATCAAATGCTTTTAAACAGCTGTAAAATTATATTACCCTTTGTTACCCTTTCATAAATTATGGACTTAAAATTTCTGAAGGAAGGGATTAACTTTCATTTTTGTAACTCCAAAAATGGGAATTTGTGTCAATAGTTTACTGCTGCAAAAATGCTTTAAGCATATTTGTTCCTCCATATTTTTAGCTCTTTGCATTGCTCTGATTTTTACAACAAATATCCTGTTTCAATAGATAAGTATATTATAAAGGCAAGCAGTGAAATATAACAGCAGCTGCTCCAAGGCAAACAAGGTTTTAAATAAAGACCACCTCTACATTCTGTTTGGAACCAAACACATGCTTAATTACACTTATTTATAGCCTTATATATTATATTATTACTTACATCATTCCTTGTTAGAAAGATGAACACAAAATTATCATGATTAATGTAGGGTGCATTCCATGTTTTACAGATTTGAAATAATTTAGATTTTTAAAACCAATTATTAAAGCGCTTCAAGTGGTTTTGTTACCTTTTCAGATATTTGCCGTTCTCAAAGTTTGCCTCACAACTGATAGCAAGAATAACTGCAGTTGTGGCCATGATAAGGAATTATCATGGGATACACTGATGATAATATAATGAGAAATATTCATATAGCACCTTGAAAGGCAATAATTGCAAAGCACTGGTAACTCGTGATACATGACCAAAAGGCAACATTCAGAAACAAGGGCATTACAGCACTTTCAAACCATACAAAAACAAATCAAGCCACAGCTCATCTGGGTCTCACACATAAGTACTTAACAGCCTGACCTGGAAAAATCCATATTTTTTTACCATGAACTGTATTTATATACAATTTTTAATTCAGTAGTGGTTTTGTTTCAATCATAAAGTCTGAGATAGCATTATTTAATATGTAAAGTTTAGATTGGTTTTAGAGCCTACAAGCCTTAATATTGCAGGAAACACCATCTTTACTGATGCATCTACTAGGTTTATTTTTTAAAAAATGCAGGAGGTTATGTTGGGTATCACAGTAGGCTTATATACCTTTTCAAATCTCAGAAAAGTAAACTAACTGTATTGTGATAAAAACTCTTGAGCCAATTGTACACATGAAGTGTGCTCATATATATGTAGCGAATCTTATTAAAGATAAGGTTTAAAACAATCAAAGTTACAGGATTGTGTGAACGCACACACAGAAAACAAATCAAAAGGTTAAGATCCAGTAGTTTCAGAAATACTACAGGATACCACCATTCAAACTCCTATTTCTGCAATTTTGACATATTCTATAATGTTTTGCATGTAAAAATCCAAATTTTCCTTTTGTACAAGTAAACCATTTTTATAGGTCACTGTGGGAGTTATTTAGGAGATTTCTTAATTACATGAAAACTTTAATCTTTAAAAAACTTGTACAATTAGAACCTTCAATCTACCAGTGATCTATAAAAAATCCCTACTTATTGTGATATGCTTGTGTATAAAATGTATATAGTATAAAAATACATATAAAGTTTATCTTGTAATTACATGTAAACATAATACATACCTACAATTGTGATGTTGTAGTTGAGGGTAATAAAGAGAAAATCCAGAGTATTCCATCGCCCCATCTTGTTCCTTATCTAACAGAGACTCACAGACTTGTGGTACACCTGAGATGGGCTTTTTAGAACAGAAAAAATGTTAGCTTACGTCCAAGGAAAAACAAAAAAAGGATTTCAGATAAAATACTGGCACTCAGGTGATGGAGAAACCTATTATTGTGAATGTTGAGAGTATGTAAGGCCTACATCAAGTTAGCTCTGACCTGGGCTGTAGCAGTTTTTAAGAAACCCCCCAAAAAGATGTTGCTTCTTTTTTACCTCTTTGTCTAGCCCTGTTACAGTGACAACTGCAACCAGATAACAGAAGCCAGGAGACATGTCACCCATTGTAGGCTATTCTTGCTCACAAAGGCATGCCTTGCATCCTGACATTGCTGAGATATTTCGGTGCTGGTCGTCCTTACAGGAAAACAAGAAGCCACTGGATTACGCTTTAAATCAGTGTATTATGTTTGCAACCGCATCGGAAAGTATTCAGAAGCTAACCACTTCTGCAAGCAGACTGGACTAGAATGAGTCTTATGGAGTTGTATTTTTAATGCTGCATTACGGTTGGTCAGCAGACGGTATCTGCTTTGCAGTTGGGGTTTGACGTTTCTACTAAATATCTATGATTAAATATTAAAGTAATCAAATTCTCTTTATATGGTAAATGATAAAGCGTTTAAAATGAATAGAATTAAACTACAGCATTGTGAATATTGTGAATTGTATAGCCATACGCAAATAAAGAAAAGACTGACAGTTTCCAAAACTGCTACCTGCGATTTTAAAATAAAAATCATGCATTAACCTTACCTAGGAAATTATTTAGAACAGTCATTGAGAAAAAAAAAGTAAATTTGTCATCCCTGTTGTTTCTTCTTAGGACCAAGGCCCTTCTCCAAGTCACTCAGACTAGCTCAATTAGTTTCCTTTTTCATAAATGATTTCAGAAAAAAAGGGATTTCAGATAAACTGGCACCAAGATGATTTTAGATATCTCTCAATGAAACATTTCTTCAGACTAAGAGGTGCATTAAAGTGTTAACAATTCTGAGAGGCAGCTGATCTGATTAAGTAAACTGTCAAAAGAATTAAATATTTGTACTAATAGCCAGCATAAGTATATTGGTATAGGTACAGAAGGTAAGAGAGCAATAGCCCTTTTCCTACATAAAACCATTTCTAATAAATTATAAATGAAACTTAACTTGTACTGATTTGTCAAGTGGTAAAAGATAACACAACCGTTCAAATCATAAAATGCGGGTATTTCCAAGTCCAAAATTGGACTATCACTCACATGAAAACCAGCAACTGTGCGTACATGGCCCCTAGGTCACGTTACACGTGTGAACACAAGTGAACATATCACAGAAAAAATGTTCAGGAAGTAAGACGGTGCTTCACGATCTTACACGTCGGTTCTTTAATGGGTATTCCAATGCAGCAGTTGTGTCTTATAATTGCTTCAGATTTTAGTTAAAATTAGTTAGTTACTTCTTACTGGCAGCCACATGGCAAAGGCCAGTAGGAAAGAGCTGTCACCAAGGTTATGTAATTCTGTGTGTGAGTGTCAGACACCATGTCATGTGACATGAGTTAGACATCTGCTTCTCAGTTTGGAGAGACAGTGAAATAAAGCCCCACCATAAAACTGTTCAATTCATAGAAACCTTTAGGCAGGCAAACAGAGTCCAAAACACTGATGCATACGAAAAACAGTTTCCTTACATCTGTGTGAACAACAGAGCTGTGCCATATGACAACAGGTTGCGTTGACACATGGGCAATATGTAAGCAACAACACTGAGCATAAAACAGAGCAGACCCCCTTACAATGCTAACAGCTTGACCTTCTACAATTGCAGGCATTGAGATGAAGATTCATAAAAAGCCTGGAAATTGCAAAAAAACATACTTTGATGTGTTATGCTATAAATTTAACATCACTGTGAGCGCTAATCCTCTCTTTTCTAGCCATACATGTTCAAGGGTACATTTAGAAATGTTAATCAATTAAAAGCTTAACAACTCTGTGTCCCGTACAGCTGTTAAAAATATGATTGCCATCAAAAATAAGAGTCCCGATGAACAAAAATGAACACTTGTAAACTTAAACTGTTTGCATTTCCCTTTGCACCCACTTTCTCTTAAATCAATATAATTTCCTTGTCTGGAAATAATGACATTGCCAACCTGATTGGATGAAAGGAAAGCAAGTCAGTAAAATATGCTGTGAAAAGAGAAGTCCAGTCCAATCTAAAAAACAACCCCAAAAAAAACAGGAGGTAAAGCTTTCAGATAAAGTAATCAGAAAATGCAGTTGACAGTGCGGAGCAATCCTTCAGCAGATTTACTTTCAATTACCTGAGCTCAGGAGAGAGACTGTCTACACTCGACACACTGTACTGTCGACAAACTAGTCAAGCTCACTGTTCTGATGTGATCTCAAAATGCGATTCAGTTCAACCTTGCTGTGTCATCTTAGAAAAAAATGCCATTTTTTTCAACAGATTGTTTGTTTTATATATTTTAGTTTTAAGAAAGTAACCAGTAGCACATACAGTACTAAACTCCTACGGAATACACTGGACACATTTTCTGTAAATAATGCCAATAAAGTGCCATTTTCTGTATTACAGATGGAATTTGAATCAGTGCATCCATACACCCTTGGTAAACTGCATGTATCACATTTACTGTATCTTACGTTGAGGGTGGTGGTGGTCTTCTTCACAATATTACACCAGGCTGGAATATTTCAATATACTGCATAGAATATGCCCAAATGCATAGAAATGAAATGATCAATAATCCCACCGGCTACATCACGTGTGGTACTAACATCTTAAAAGCAACACCATCTGGTCATATATTACTGCTACATCTTTGTCAAGACCATCATCATTAAAAGGCTATATTTCAAACTGTTGATCCAGATATACCTGTATCCAGACATATTTGCATTGATACATAAAAATAATGACACACGAAAAAGATGCAATAGAAACAGAATCGAGTTTGGATACAAGAAAAAGAACTTTTTATTGCAATTTTAAAATGTTTATTTCTTTTTTAGGTTTCTGAACATCATTTATGAAATGGGACTATTCGTAAAATTATAGACTTTAAACCGAGACATCATGCTCCTATTCGGTCTTCTGTCCCAGCAATAGGTGAGACAGGATCACCCCGCAAAACAAAAATTACAATCAACTAAGAAAATACCCAAGAGATACGGCTCCGCACTTGGCAAAATCAGAACAAGAACAAAGGTTAAGCCCTGACATTTCCTAAAGAAAGAACATAAAACATCAGAATAATAACACAAAAAATCAATTTAACTTAAAACTATGGAATCCTCATTTACAGCAGTGTTCTTTTGTTAGCACAGGAAACAACCAATAATAATTGATATTAAATGTTTCGGTTCCAACTAACTCATAAATCCTAAAAAAGAAAACTCTATTCAGAGGTAGAGTCCAGTGCACAAGGCTGTTACACCAATCACCAGCCTAAAGCAGGCTGAACCTGATTGGACCAAGTTCACTTTAGTATTGAAATAAACATCAGGCTGTATGTACATACATACAATAAATAGGATATACAATCTTTAAAGAGCTGAATACATTTCACAAAAGTACACCTGTTCCATATTTCTCTATAAAATCTTTGTCTTTTAGAGATCCAGACCACTCTATCATTTCCATAACTTAACAATGACTTGTGTTGTTTGGACCCAAACGTATGGAATAGTTTTTCTACATTTTGTAATGTTCTGGTTCATGAATGTATACTTTGGATGCAACTAAAAAACAATATTTGGGTTCACTCTAAATCACACAAAATGGAACTGCAGATTTGCTAAAGTAAGATATGATACAGTATGATTTCTAAAAGCATTTGAGGCTTTGTTACAGACAGACCCAGCAAGCTCTTTGCAATGCTCACTGTGTTCAGGACTTGACATTTCAACAATAAAGCAAGAGGAGGGTACCAGAAAATTCTGCTAAAAAATATTCTCAAGAGGGTCAGCCCATAAATGTACTCCTTCGGTGCAGGAGATGAAGACTGGAGTCCAGACATCGCTAGGTGGAATCTGGGCTATCTCATTTACTAACTGTAGCTAAGTCACTGGCAGTGTGAGCTTCATTTGGCTAAGGTATCCTTGGCTTTCTGTATAACCCTTTAAATAAGATAGCAGCAATGTTGATGGAGACATCGTTGCTCCAATTGATAACAGCTCACTGCTGTGTGGAGAAAAATTAATAGATCTGATAGTACATGTTCTAGAAAAAAAACACATGTATGGGGTTCATTAAGAAGTGTAGTTGTAAACTGAGATTAATAAAAGTTGCATAATATAGGGGTTCTCCAAAATGAAACAGGTGATGATTATAAATTAAAGAAAAGTTATATGAAGACGCTAAACAACTACACTTTTAGTTGCTTTTTGTTTTCATTAAAAAACAACAAAAATTATTCAGATGATCTTGTGTTAGCAATAGAGCCTGAGGAACAGCTATGAATGTTATCCAAACCGTATTCAGGCCAGCTCAAGTACACAGTCATTGGCTCTCAGGCTAGGTTTATTAGGGGTCTTTAAATAAAGTGGGAACTGACTTTTTTTGCAATTTCTTTGCAAGTGTAAAATATGTTCTGCATACAATTATATCATTCTTCTAATCAATCCAGAAACTCATCCGCTGATTTTGGCCTCGGTGGTGAAGTCTTGCAATTTGTTAGAAAAGAAAAGCTTAAAAACCTACAATTTTAGTGAACAACGAATTCCATTTTAACTGGAAGACTGCACTTGAGCACATAGCACCATCCTAGCTTAAAGGGGAACTGCAACGCTATTTTAATATTTTGGGGTTAGAAAGAATCAGCATTGATGAGTGTATCTGTAAACCACAATAAAGTGAAATGTACACAGTAACGTGTAAAACCTTTAATTTACATCACAAAATAGATGAAATTTCCAGGTATGCGCAGTGCCATATTCTGCGATTCAGAACGAGGCAACAAAACTTCCGGAAATGTGAAGTGGCCTTATTACACTGTAAACAAGCAGGCTTGTGAATACACCTCTTTTAATCCAACAGAAATACTGCTCTCGACTTCGAGGTGGTTTTGCTGACAAATACGACTTACTTGATAACTGCATGCAGATCATGTTGGAACATTTCTGCAGTGAAATGTCTGCTGCACAACCTGTACTTATTCGCTCATACAGTACGTCACATTACATTAGTCTTTACGCAGACTAGTGAGCAGGAAGGGCAGCTTCATGCCACTACTAGTGGGAACTCTCACCACGGGTTTTCGACAACATGGCGACTTACAGTACTTTCACAATGTTCGGGATTTATGCTTAATTTGACATTTGTAATATTTTTCTATACTGTCAAAAAATCTATTTTTTTACCAAGATTTAATAACCAGTCTGAGAAATTGAGACTGCAGTTCCCCTTTAATTGTGAGAGATAATCTAATCAGTTTTGATTTAGTTCTGACAAGCTTTTTTTACTCACAGGAAGCAAACTAAACACCTCAGATGTGACAACTGGAGGCTTATGGTGTAGGAAACCATGGGTTAACACATCAATTTAAGCAATGCACGTGGCATTTGGGGACAGTGGGTCCACTTCTAGATGGACAGTATTATTATGGTGACGTTTTAATTAGTTTTTCCAACAAAACCAATTGTTTCATTCCTTAAAGAGCTCATTAAAAGCACAGAAATTTGGAACATCCCAACCAAATGCTACTCTTTTAAGAACATGCTAATTTTTTACACTGTTCTATTGCATTCATTTATTTGGCCACCATGTAAGAGTTAAAAACCAGGATTCAACTCAAAACACGCTAACCTTAGATTCCTTATCCAGTGTTTGATAATATAAACTGCAATTAGACACCTGACATTTGGATTTAGTAGGTGGATCAAAGTTTCCAACTTACTCTGGGCACTAGCTGTGATATTTAATTAGATAAGTAAATTAATAAAAAATATATGTAATTTAAGAGCATTGATTTACCTTTTAGTCACTGATTATCACTTAAGCTTCAATTCCCCCCATACGTTTCCTTACACATAGATGCTTTAATAAAATTCTGCACATTTAAATGATTTTCAAAACTGCAGACTTGTTTGTCTTCAGAATTGTAGTCTGGGTGGTATAGTAAGACACTCAGAACCTTCACTTCTGCAATAGAAAAAGTACATTGGAGGTCAGAATAGAACTGATTTATGCTGAGTGTCTGGAGGCAGTTGTCTTCTGTCAATAGTGACGCAGTCCAAAATACAATTCTGAAGACTGATGAGTTTCCAGATTTCTAAACAATTTCTAACACTACAGATCTTTAGGCTGTCATTAGACCTTTGATACTGTGAACAAACAATACATAAATTGTAGAACAAAGCACTTTAAATGCAAGAAGGATTTTGCAGAAAATATTCACAATTGTCAAGTGTTTGGGGGGCATTTCTAAAATTTAAATAGATTACATTTTGTAGTGAGTAAAACTCATTTATCATGGGTGTTAATGCACAAAAACATCCACGTACTGTACATATTTTCTGATAACAAAATTCTAAAAATGTAGATTTACATGGAAGTAAGTGGAGATCATACAAAAGCCATTGACTTAAACAGCAAGCTAAATGCTATGAGACACATTAAAATAAAAGCATTTGTAAATGTTCTTATCACAAAGCTTATTAACTGTAACAGTTTTAGCAAACCTTTGAGTGCTAAAGCTTTATTGTCTTGAAAGTACACAGTAGCACAGGTCAGTAAAAAAAATACATTTAGGATCCTGTTCAAAAAAGAAATCTTTTTTGTTTGATGGTAATTAAAAATAACTTTACTACCCCTATAAATGTAAGTTTATAAAAAGCCAAAGCATAACTAATTTATTCCAAAGTTTTGCAATGGGAAGTTTTGCAAAGTTATTAACCCATAAAATAGTAATAACATTTAAGTACTTTTATTCACTGTATAAATTTTACACATTTAATTCTTTCCAGTTGGCAATTCTGATCAACAGACTGAGGAATAATCACTTTCTCTTACAGTTCTGTAAAGTTTGGACACCACTCACAGCAATAAACATTTCAGCAGAAGCCTCCACTTACATTGTGTTTTTGCTAGTATCATTAACACTTACATACGCCACATAGCGCGTTCGGAAAATATTTTGGATTTTTGAAAAATATTTTTTGAACAGGGTCCATTTCTTCGCATTTAATCATAATCTGTTTTTATTTTCCAAAACTATCTTCTCTAGACATGAACATGGTAAAATATGTAACAGTGCAGAAAACCTCTGACTTGAAAAGATTTCAGACAAAAGAGTTCTAATAAAAGAATATAAACAGTCTTGGACATCTGTCACTTGGAAAAACAGAGACCAGAAAGGGGGCTAAGGGCAGAGTTACGGCTAAAACATTCACTCCACAACTAACATATGGCCAAACGTTCTCTTGAAAAAGAAATACAACTAAAACAATTCTTTTCTAAGGTCAACGAAAAATGGTACATGTATATTGCTTATGGTGAAAAAAATACTTTTGTTGGCCTGGCAAGTAACATTAAAAAAAACCCAGCAAGAACAAAAAATATACAAGTAATACATAAAACTTAAAAGAGTGCAAAACATTTGCTATCCGCCATTGTATTTTGGCAAAATCAATACAGCAAATTTAGGACAATACTTTTCTGTTCAAACTGCTTCAGTTATTAATGGGCTAATAAACTGACTTAGTAATATACTCTATATATATATCATTGAACTGGGGGCTGTAGTCCACGGCCTTAGCTCCCTGTGAGGAATGCACCGCAGCATTATTCACATTACTAAACAAAGTGCAATCTTATCGGTCTGCAGTTTGATTAATTTTTGATCATGTAATTTGACATTTAACCCTTGTCTCAAGTCATATGCAGTACATTACACTCTTGTCCATTCGGATGGAATGTTTGTATTTGGACATCAACTAGTTCTTCCGTCACCTCAGACCTTTGCTTAAGCTTAGGTTAAAGTCAGAGATGAGACAGCAATTCAAATTGGACTGGCGATTGTGTAACTCAGGCCAAAGTCCTTGGAAAACCTTCATAATTGAGCACGAATTGGCACTGGCACCCTGATGGTGAGCCTCACTGTGACAGACCAACCCCTGGGAAGAGCCAAAGGCCTGACTTTGCTTTTTTACCCCTAAGCAGGGCGACCTGGCCATAGCGTGGGGGGGACTTGGTGCACTGAGCAGAAAGAGTGAGGAAGATTGTTTAAACTGTTACCACTGCAGCCAGAAGATACATAAAGCGCTTCAATCACCACTGCAAGTCTATGTACTGAACGTTTCATATGCAGTAGGTTCCTTCAAAAAATCATACTTGCTTTCTGAATGTAAAAAAATTGTATAAACAGCACTAAGAAAAAAATAACAGCAAACTAAAAATCAGTCTGTTTCATTTAAAAGTAAGGAAGCAAAAAACCTCTACAGGTTTAATTCAATAAAATCACAATTAATTTTCTTAAAGTTTCAAAAAATAAATATTTTTCCACCCTACAAAAAAGATCTTTGACTGTTTTTTATTTTCAGAAAAGCTGACCAATGTTGTAGAGAAGACGTGCACTTTTTTGAGTACTTCTTTTTTGTTAAAACTGTCAGAAAAAGCATTTTGAGAAACTAAAGAAAAGCCAATGACATTAAATGGTCCAAAACATTTGTAGGTTTGAGTAAACAACACAGGAAATGGAAATTGGTTATCCAACTGTGGAAATAATCAGAATTGCCCGGAGGAACAGGCTTCTGTTCTTCTTCATGGCCTTGTTACCTCTTCAGATAGCTGCTTGTGCTCGGGAGAGAAATGTGTTCACATTAATGAGCGACAAACACAACAGGAATGTACAAAAAAATCAATATCTGGCAAACAACTCTATGCACACAAAGACAACAAATAGGAAATGTCACTATGATGAAGGAACTCTAATATCATGGCACAGTTTGCTGTTTTCTTCTCAGTTCATTCTAGTATCTTATGTCAATGCCTTATTTCCCACATCACAGCAGTATTTTCTCTCCACAGCCACAGAATGAAGCTCTGGCAGCCCAAAGGAAAACATGAAGAGTGCATCTGCTCCGTTCCAAAAAGTCGCACATTTCAGTCCTTTCTCGATTAAAAATAAAAACGTGCTTCCTCTGTGCTGCAGCAGACGGAGGCACTGGAAAGGCATGTCGCCCAGTCGAAAAGGTTTCGTGTCCCCCGCCTCCCCCAGTCCAGGCGGATGATAAACCTCCTTTGCAAAGAAAGCCAACCTGTGTCCCAGTACGCAGATTGTTAGGATATAATAGCAGGAGACCACCTAACCACAGTCAGATTGTCTGCGCTCACAGACCGCTTCTTTGCAGCTTTCCTCAAGTCCTTATATTTGTCATCGCACAGCCGGGAGATGGCCTGTAAAAGGTGTTAAAGAAAGGGCTTAACATTGTTTGTATTCTGGAAAATACAAGCACAACCAAAAAGAGAGCATGTACAAAACAGGACACACAGTATCTGAAATATATGCAGCAATACTTATGTCAGCACAGCCTGGTAAAAATACAACCCTTGTATAAAATGCATTAGCAGATCTGAAAAGGATTCTAAATATATATCCAGCCGTAACTGCGTATTATGCAAAGCTCCCCAGCTACCCTTGAATTGTGCAACGGGGGTTGCGTTCCTAATGCCTTTCAAAGTTTTAGTTTTGAAAATGGTAACAAAAAAAGAGATAATCAAAAGCTCTTCAATCCCTGCTGTAGGTTTGGTTTTAGACATGACTGCAGTTTATTAAGCAGAAGTTTATATGAGAAGGGTATTCATGGATATAACCAACAGTCGCCAGGTCTCCTTTGTGTTTAAGCTAATATCTTAAATTTCTTACAAACAAATAAGCTCTAAAATATAAGGCTTACCATAAGCCGGTATGCTATGATCTTTAAATGGGATAGTATGCTTTGAGCCTTTGGCCACTAGGAGATTAAAGCAACATTATGGCAGTGCGAGACGGCAGAAGCCAAAACAGAACAACATCATTAATACTAGAAAGTTTCCACCATCCACGGGATTGTTATAAAGACCAGAGAAAAGTAACAATTTAAATAGAAATGAGAAGAGGCTCTGTTTTTGCGTCTAAAGCACGGCACAGATCACCTTCAGCAGCAAGAAATAAAACATGTCTCTCACCTCTAGTTTCTGTGCCTTGTCCCTACTTAGTGGTTCCAATGGAAAGCTTAGATTATTGGCTTCTGACAGGGAGCGCAGGTCAAAATAATACTTTGCATAAACACTTGAAGGGACATTAATGTTGAACTGCAGCAACTCCAGAAACTGTCGCTCAAGTTCATTCCTGGAAAACATAAAAACAGTTAAATAAAAACTTCAGGATACATCCATTAAAACATTGAAAATAGCCTCACGGAAGCACCACAAACCACTCGTGACCATATGAAGTCATACAAAGCTTACAACTAGTTTTTTACTAATAAACAACACAAGCATGCTCATTTAAACTCCACAGTTTAAATACTCCTTAAGTAAACCTTAGAGTTTTCACTATTTCAAAACTTGCAATATAGTCTTAGCTAAGGAACAGAAACAACATTTAATATTGAGACAGGCAATAGATGACAATTTAGGACACAGGGTTTACATGACATTGTTACATTTCTTGTTTTCTTCAAACTCAAGCATTAAAAACACATTGGAACCAATAGAACTTTTTGCATTGTAAAACCTCTCAGTATAAAAATCTCACTTGAACAGATAGTGTTCTTGGAACACTTGCTTTAGGAACCTAGGAAGAAAATACCCCACTGTCACTGTCACTGAACAAGTGCAAAGTGATATAAAACTGGCAAAAATGAACATCAATGCATCACCAAGGGGTATACTTGGAAATTAAATTGCTTAGTTACACTGACACGTAACCCAGCTTCTTTGTCTTTCTGAGTTTTTAGGGTTACTTAAAACTGCTAGCTGCATGTACTGTAGGTTTCTTATTTGTCAATCGGTTCATTTGTTAATCGGCTCATACACTGTGTTGAATGTATTATGTACTGTGTTACATCTTTTACCTGCCTGCAGGGCCAATTTCCCATCAAGGACAATAAAGTAAGTATGAATTGTAGTGATGAAAATATTCAAAATGTAAGTATACACCCTCTCGCTAGGTTACATGAGAGTAGACTTTAAATTTGACTTTAAAAAACTAACACAGGTCCCACAATAAAATTCAGCTTCACTTTGCTTTTGCACATGTTATGGGAACCTCTGCTCATCACCTTGTGCTTTTTCACTGAAAATTGTCAGTAACCCATACTGCAATCATGTTAGGGAAGTACCCAAGTGATTCTTTTATTTACTGTTAATTTATTTTGTGTTTAATTACTGAACAGTACGGATAGGGTAATGAAATGTACAGTACTTACAAAAACATTAAAATGTCATTCTCTCTTTACTTACTGTACACTTTAAGTGTACGTTATATTCTATGTTCCATTTATAGTGTTTTAAAATGTTGCGAAAGCCGTGACTGTCAAAGAAAATCTATGTTGGGGATAGAATGATGCAAAAAAGAGCCCTAGCACTCTAACCTAACACAGTCAGCAGCTTTAAGTTTAGGAATACTGCTAAACAGGTCCATTTCAGTCAACTATTAGGTTAAAGTGCTAATTAAAGAGTTGAGATGAAAGTAAAAAGGAGAACCATGCTGCTAACTAAATGTCTTCATATACCTTAAACGGTTTTTTAAAGTAAAGGGCAGATTAAGCTGCGTTCATGTAATCTGCATGTTCATTTTTTAAATTCCATCATAATTTACATTATACTGAATTTACAACATAGGTAAAAAGATATGACAATCATTATTATATGTATTAAATAATGAACCTTAAAAAAATATTTTGCAAGTGTGATTTACCTATGCTATATTTTCCAAAGCAAACTTGCGTCTATTTAATGGTACTGGAAATATTTCAGCTCACACAGTGAGAATGTGGGCTAGCATCTGGACTCAACATAGTATTTCTTTGCCAGGTCTATTTTGTGCTAATGTAATAACCTATATTGATACCCACAATAATATTCAAATTTGTGTAGTAAAAGACAAGCTAAATTTAGCCTACAGAGTCGAATTTGTGATGAAATGTCTACCTCTGACAGGATCTCATGCATTCATTTTTCTGTTCTGGTTTGTCATCTGATCCCTATGATAAAAACTATTCTTAACACTAACTATGCTTACATGGGTCACGTCAAGCAAAAATCATGAAAAAAAAACTAAAGGCCCAGGTGGAATCCTGCAAACAAACAAAGCAAAAGATTCCACAGATGAAAGCACTTAACTGGACTACCAACCTTACTCTGTTCTACTGGCAACTACCACACTTGGTCTACTGACCATTCTGAAGGAAAAAGACCCACCTTTATACACAAACTCAAAACCCATGTAAACATACAAACATGCCAGACAACTCATAATGATTAATTTACACAATCATATAAAGCATTACAGCAATCAGGCCAATCAGCCAGGACAAGCGGTTTGGAGGTGGATGGGCATGTTGCCCTCTCCCTCCTGGATTGAATTTCCCTCTTCATGCCCATCTCTTGTCTGTTTGAGACTTCATCTTTTCTTCTGATATGACCCATCGGCAGCTTTCCCATCCACTCTGAAGATACTGGACAAGATGTGGATGACGTTTCAACATTGTCTTCCACTGGAGATGGGCAGGGTGGCAAACAGGCGTTGCCCTCTTCTGCGCAGAGCCTCAGCCAGGGCAGCTGGCACTTCACCCTCTTTGGGAACCTGGGCCAGGTTGCCAAGCAGCACAGTCACAGAGGTGACTTCAGTGTGACACACATACAATCCCCAGGCAGATGGGGCTGTGACTGTGGAGTGAGATGAGGACACTCTTTCTCTTCCAAGTGAACCATGGAACCATTAATGACCTAGTATTCAGGACCTCAGTTTAACATCTCCTAGTATGTCCCATAGTCCAAAGTACCCTGTCACCATCCTACAACACTGGTTATAAAATTGTAATCGAGCATGAAGAGTGCCTCCTACTGGTCCACCAACAGCACCAGCAATCTGGTTGTCCTACATTACTGACCAGGCCCCACCTTGTCTAGCTTCTTAAGACATCAGAATGGCGATGGTAACACTCCAGGATGCAAAGCTGCTTAGTAAATGTAACTATGACACTGGTGACGTGGGATTTTGATCATACAGATAAATTACTTGATAACTGCTTGATAACAAGCTCTTCTAGACATCAGGATTTATGATGATAAAATTATGTGTAGTCATACATTATAAAAAATGCATAATATAACTATAGTATAATTATACAATGTAACTATTATTAATAATGCATAACTGTTTATAAAATATTTTATATACAATATGTATAAACTTCGTTATCTCCAGTAGGTACAAGTACACCCACTATTCTACATCTTGTTCAGTAATACTGAAAGCATAGTGAGTAAATAAAATTATAAACACTCAGTATACCTACTCTTTCATATTTACTATTTAGAGCCTAATTACAGTTAACCTTATTAAAATAAACACAATTTATTCATGAAATATTTTTGGCACATATTCAAAGATTATTGTAGTTATGCAAACAAAGATTGCATGTGTGCGTCTTTACAGATGATTGTAATATAAACTGATTCCAAAACACAATAAAATTAGCTTTGTATTGAAATGTACTGTAAAATAATCATTACAATATCACCATGCGCACTCATTTTCACTATTGTCAAAAAGTCTATTTTTATTTTATATTGCTCTGAAATTATTTTACTCATCCTTACTATGTCAACATCCTTGCTACGTCAAAAAAGTACATTTGAAATCGTGTTTTAGTTTTTTTTTGAGCAAGAACAGGAGCTTTATAAAAAGGTGGTTTGAGTGAACTGTTATTTCATGAATTACAAATGAATCAAGAATAACAAATATAAAAAAAAAAATGACAAATACTTTGAAATATGGCTAACACTACTTTCTTTCCAAACTAAAAAAACTCTTTTAGCTTTTCCCGACAATGCGGTGTCCTTTTTACAGGTGCAATATGTGACTGGTGATTGGCGTCTTGTGAAACCTTCTCTTACAATCTGTGAATACTATTTTAGTATTCAAAAAGGTCATAACCGGACACTGAAAAAATATTAGTAAACTATTTTAGGGGTTTGCATTTATGCTTCATTAATTCTAACCAAAAAAACTGAGCTTACTCTCCTTAGTCCACATTTTGCATTTTTCAATTTGGGCAAAAAACATTTTATTTCAGTTTTTTAAATATTGCCACAATGAAGTAATAAGGTGGGTACTGTGGAAGAGTTGGGTGTAACATTTATTTCCATGTATGTTATATACAGTACATTATATGCATCTTTTCCCCCTTCATCTAATCATTAGTTTCAACAGCCCAATTTCCAAGCCACTGCACTGTAGTAATTTCAAGATCAAGCATGTCCTGAAAACAATAAGAAAGTAAATATTTTAGGATGAACTCACATGTCTTCTACTGTGATGTCTTTCAGGATCTGGCAATAATCCACATTCCAAACTGCTTGGTCATCCCAGACTTTAGACGCCAGTAAGATGGCACCTAAAACAATCCGTTTCCAGTTTGCAGGGCAGATATCAATCTCTGCATACGTTAACAGTCTTTCAAGATACACCTAGAAAAAAAAAAGAAAAAAAACTTAGAAATATGGACAAAGATGAGCAGGATCACAAAAAGTAAATGAGTTGTTATTCTTCCTCATCAGGATAACACGACTGGCTTTACCTGTTTTGCAAATAATGACAAACGTGACAAATACGCCTTATAAATTAACAGGTACCTTTTGTAACTACATGTTCATTTTATCCCTTTGAAATGATGTATATTTCAAGAACGTGGTAAGAGGTTATTAGCTTTATCATGATAATGCTGTACTTTCCACCCTTTTGACTTATATTATTGGCTTATCAATTGATGTATGAAAAAGACTAAATAAAGGAACAGTTCTTTTCAAAAGTTATATATCTAATTTATAACAGGACAATAAGGAAGCAGAGCACAAAGATTTTGCAAGAAACCAGATTCACATTTGATTAACAATTCAGTTTAAGTCTACTTTTTACACCTGGTATTGCCATGTTCATGTTCCTTTCAGATCTACGGCCTTTTAATAAATGTTTACAAAAGATATCCGCAAGCAGTATCTCATATGATGCATGCAACAGCCAAAGCAACTTTGTATTCATAAGTTTGTTATTATAAAGATGTGTCACAAATGCAGAAATATACAACGGAAATAGAACATCAGCAACAGCTTCTCATGTCCAGTTTTCAGACATATGTGACTTATGCACATATCTTATGAGAAGGCACTTACTATAAAGACAGTGCACCTGAAGGTCTGCATGTGTAAGTGTAACAGAGACTACAAAGGGCAGAACTGACACTGAGAACCTGTCGTGAGGAATAGGAGAACCGATGTATGGAAAGAGGCAGAGCTCACGTCAGAACCGCATGCGCCCAGGCTAAAACCAGTCAGAGAAGACAGAATCTAAAAAATCCAAAAGAGGAGCTGCTGGTGAATGGAGCAGTTGCCCACTATTGTGGCAGTACTGTGTTTGAGCACAATCTGTATCTGGTGAAGATTGCTTCACTTGCCATTCCCGAGACTGGTTGCCTTGCCAGATAAACTCTGGGTATCAGTCTCCTTTGGGTCTGGACATTTCTCCTCTTTCTTATCACTGGTAATCCTGCCTTTCCCTGTATAAAAGGAGTTCCTTTAAGTTCAGGCAAACCGGTCTTGCTCCATTGTAGCTTTCTTTAAAAAGGATCTCAGTTCTTTAATTCTGCTTATCATCTGTGCAAATAAGCATGAATGCTTGGCACATCCAATAGCTAGAAGAGCTTTGCAAGAAATATGTGCCAATTATCTGTCCTTTATTTTATTTTAGGTTTCTGCGTTAAAATTAAACAATGATAAAGTGTTGCATACAACACAGGCACTCATGTGCTCAATGTGACTTTTCTCAAATGACAGCCAGGTCAATGTATTTCTAAGCTTGTAAAAATTCCACCCTTGGTTGTGATCTAACCTTGTGACATAGTCTTTACTTCATCACACAGTTCATGTTTCAAAACAGGGATATTTTAAAGTGATATTTTTGAAAAAAATATTTTGATAAAGTTATTTTTTCAATATTTTTAGAATTTAATAATAATTATTTATTGTATTTGTTAGTGCTTTTCACATAGAGATTTACATACACAAGTAGACAAAATTCGTACACCACAGAAGAGCAGCACCCAAGCAGGTGATATGCAGTAACCATTCTACACAGCCCCACAACACAGCAGAGCAGTTGGATAGATATGGTATATATATTCAATTTGACAAAAACGTTCAAACATTAGATAAAGAATGGTGAAGACTCAATAATACTGGTTCTCATATATAATTTCTTTTACCCTTGTTGCTTCCATCACTCTGGTAGTTTTAATTTTAAAAGATTAAAGAGATAGCTCTAAATCACTAATCACAAAAAAGTCCTATTTTTTTCAGCACACCAATCAGCATGTAAAATATCTAAATCCCTGGGAAATAAATCATGATTAAAGATGAGAAAAGCTGCTTCCTAACATCCATCCATTTGTTTTTTGAAAGTTTTTACCAATACAGGGTCATGGAGGAGCCTATCCCGACAGGCAACAGGCACAAGGCAGGATACACCCTGGACAGGACACCAGTCCGTCACAGGGCACACACAGACACACACGCGCACACACTTGCAACAGGGCCAGTTTCCCCAGAAGCTAATGAACCTACTAGTATGTCTTTGTACTGCTAGGAAACCAGTGCACCTGGAGGAAACCCACACAAACATGGGGAGAACCTACAAACTCCATGCAGATAGTGACCAAGGTCCAGGCAGCAACACTAAGCACTGCACCACTGTGCTGCCTGTTTCCTAACATGTTTTTCCAAAATAAATAATAAACTGACTCGGTGCAGAGAGAAACAATAATAGTATTCTTAAACTGGTAACAAAACCCTCTGAATAATTTCAAATATGAATAAAGATTTCTTAACAGACTAAATCAATGTATATACTGGACTTACATTATCACAAACTGCTAGAGATATGCACAATCCTAACTGTACAATATACAGTCTAGAAAAATGTGAATGTGGAACTAAGTAAGCATTAAAACTGTATTTAGAGCCTTGGAAGCAATGTGAAAAGATATTATATTGGAGGTTTATTTTTAGAAGAAAGCTAATCAATATTTGGAATTAATTAACACAAAAAATCTTCCAAACTATGTATATATTGGGATAAAGTTAACATTATAATGAAGTTTAACTCTGTTTGACGTTATAATAAATTATAAGTCTGGCTTTGTTTGGAGTTGTGGTTGTGTGATCACTGTGTAAATTAAGATTGCTTCAGCTGTAGTTCTAATTGAGTTTCAAATTGATACTTTTGAGCTCCTTTGGAGTGACCACTAGTGTTGGGCACAATAATAACTGTGCAATAATCAGTCAAGAAGGAGATCTAATTTTCTGAGAAACCTAAGGAAAAAGTTAATTTTATTATGAAAGTTTGACTCGGTTAGCTGTGGCTGTGTTTGCACCGATATTTAAGAATGTGTCAGCTGTTTTCTGGATTGAAGTTCAAATTGATACTTTAGAGGGCATTTAGGGAAACTGCTAATGATACTCACAATAATAACTATGTGCAATATGTAGTCCAGAGAAAAATTAAACGAAGCATTATGCAAGTATTCCAATTTGTTTTTAAAGGATTAGGAATAATGGGAAAAAAAACCTTACTAGAACAAAGTTAAACCCTAACTGTAAATTGGGCTTTATTAAATCTTCCAGTTTAGGGTACATGTCAGAAAAAATCTAATATTATGAAAGGCTGACTTAGTTTAGAATGTGTTTTAAAGATAAAAATGTTTCAGCTTTTGTTTGAATTGAAGTTCAAATTGATATTTCTGAGGTCATTCAGAGCAACTGCTCATGATGGGCACAATACAAACTGTATATACATTAAAACCTTATACGAATGCTTTCAAACAATATGAAAAAAAAACTTCATACCAAAAAGATCAACCCATAATGTAATAACCAGGTTTAAAAATGCTCTGCAGCAGAACTTGCGATGGCAGCGAAATTCCTTCTAATTACCTTAAGCTAGATCGCAAACATGCTCTGACTTAATACTGACACATCTAGTTGACCAACTGGGATTAGTATAAAGCGAGAATATCTTAAAACCCAAGTATGTCTTCAGATCTAATCATGATGTCTGCCACCCTTTAGCAGGAATACACGCAGTATACTAGCACAGATAACTGAACCAGTATCTCAAGCAATCCCTGTGGCCTTCTGTCCCACAGATGATACTCTCGAAGGATTTTACCCAGGGCCATGTCAGGTCGGTCTCCTAATCACAGAAGCATATGTTATGGTATATGTTATGTTATATTATATACATATATATTATATATGGTATATATATATTATATACCATATGTTATGGTATGTTTTGTTCTCACAGGATTTGTGCACAAATACTAGTTACATGTGAAATATCACATTGGAAGCTGCGTGGAGTTTGAGGCGATTTTAAAAAATCTGCTGAAGAACCCTGTTCAAGTTAATCTGTCCACTGAAACATGCTCTGACTTAATAAGCCTGCTTCTGACAATGGAAAAATTCCGCCTCATTTGTGGGCTCACTCCAACAACTGGATTGTTTACGGGTAACTTAATAAACTCTGTGCTGACCACAGCAGAGATGGCCCCTACTGCGGCTTACTGCTTTCACGGCCTCTTAAGAGTTATGAAGGAGTGGAATTGTTTCTTTTTCCCCACACAACATAAAATAACAGCCCAGACTTACAGTATTACGTGAGCTTGACAGAACACTGTGCAAACTAATGGATTTTATTCATCTGTGGACAACACTGTTGGATCTTCTACACAGTAGAAAAAAAAACACCAAAATATACTCCGAAGCCCTGCATGATTACAGCTTGTGACTGTATGATACAGAAAAATGTTAAAACGTAAACAAATGTCTGATTGGCCTACATTCTATCCTGTACATTTTGTTCGATAATTTTTTAAAACTTTTTTTTTCCATTATCACTATGTACAGTATCATTGGGTTTGGAAAAGTGTTTTATAAATAAAAGTTATTATTAAAAGGTAAAAGAACATTGATTAAGACTTGTGTAAGAGAAATGTTACAAATCAAAATACACAGAGACAAAATTCCATTACCAGAAAAACAATAACAGTATCGTTATGGTCTTTATTTGGATGAAGAACGCAACACAAAAATATATCAAACAGCATTTTATAGCATTGTGCAGGAGTTTGCACCATGAGTAACATAAAAAGCTATTGATAAACCAATTCTGGAGTCACCTACACTCTTGACACCTGTATTTCCTGAAAAAATAAAACTTTTAGTTATTCTTTAGTCCCTGTGCCTAATGACCAAAATTGGCCTGATGGACAAAATGTATAAGAGGATATTTTTAAAATTCAATCACAATTTATGTTATTTCTGACCGACTCCTTAGTCCTTTAATTTGCAGATGTGTAAGTAGGAAATCAGTTATTTTTGTTAGTGAAGCAAGCGGAAAATGGATTTGTATGTTGTTACATTTTACCCAGACCTTTCAAAGGTTAAGAATATACTGTGGATAAATGAATACGAAATTGACATACAATTATTCTTAGTGAAATGTAAATGTACTGTAAAACAAACTGTGTAACCTATTTGTAGGGCAAAGACAGATACTGTAAGACAAGCCACTATTGTTTTCTAAAGCTGTCAGAAGAGACTGCTCACATGGACATCAGCTGTTTGAATAGGCAAACCACACTGGGGATAGCAAAATGCCTCCAAGCTTTTATGAAATATCATTGCATGGGGTGTTACTAAACTTGAGATTTGAGCAGCAAAGCCAGCAAAAGTCTGTGGGGGGTCTTTACAGAAGCAGGGAATGTTTATTGCAGGAAATCTAACACCCACAGTCCTTGAATCTAACTAAGGAAATACAAAAAAAACAGCAGAGATGACTCTGGCAAACCCAACACCCAAGTTCTACTCAAAATGACTAAATATCAGTTTTTCTCTACAGACTAAGTATTTTACTTCTTTGGATGATCAGTATATGTTCTACATTTCACCACAGTCGTTTTCCTAGTAGTATGTATGCAAAGCTAAGTTCAACCTTGGATAAGCATCAGCCTTTGAAAGAATTTAAACAAATGGCGCTCTATACTGTCGAGCTTATCAGGGAATGGTAGTCATATTTCATTAATAAAAAGTAAATCTTTAATTAAGCAAAGGTTCTTACTGTCAATTAAAAAATAGACTAATTATTACTACATTTGTTGTTATTATTATTAAGAATGTTAATAATAATCGGAGCCACCTTTCTTCACATCTGTACTGCTGAAAAATCACATATAATGGACTTAAATAATGGCAATGTTCTGTGAAAAAAATTATTTGCTCTGTTATTCGTTCTTTTAAGCTTATTTATAGGGTAGTTTGCACAATTCCGAGTGAGAAGTATAAGACAGTTCCGAGACCATTTCTGTTGCACACACCCAGACAAAGCTGAGTACACCAAACAAGTCTCGGAGTTCTAGACTGCTGTAGTCCCTATTTATAGGGAAACTTCTATAGATAAAACATCCTGGACACTGAAAATCATTCAATTTCTGATACTGCAGATCACTGTGAACCTGGGTTGGCATATGCCTTAAGCTCAGTGTTCTCCAACATCATAAATTTGAAGATGGCAGGATGATTTTACTTATTGTTTCAGCAATTTTCATTATAGTCTGCCTACCCACAGCCCCTGCAGTATGTCAATGTAATTTTACACTTTAGTGTCCAGCACATTCCCTAGTCACATTTTCTAATAAGATTCAAATTTGAACATCTTTAAAATTGACAACTCCGTGACACTTCACAGCTTATAACTAATTCTTAATTAATACACACCCGCGTCCCAGGTTATGAAAGACTCGACGTACATACATTTGACTTAATGTAAAAATCTCCCATTGATCCCCTAATAAAATGCTTGAGTTACTGAAAATGTACATTATATACGTAAAGAGCAGGTAGTGCAGTATGTACCCTCTGTGGATGAATCGCGGAAAGTATGAGTAATACGGTCACCAGCAGGGCTCCCTTTTACACTTCAGTCTCTCTTTGCTTTTAAACTTGTGTGGTAACATCTGCACATTATCTCATTCTATTAATTTTTGGTATTTACGGTGTATCTTATTTTGTGTTTAGTTATTTAAACGTTGCAGTGTCGGGTATTTTCACTTCTCTTCCACTATATAAACGGTGGAAGTTTCCTTTCTCTCTCTCTCTAGCTCACGGACAGCTAGCTGCTGCTGCTACATTCTCTCTCTCACTCTCTGACCCCTCTGCGATCAGCACCCACCTGTTCACCACTAAAGGACAACGAACCCTGGTGAGCCTGCACTTCTGCTCTCTTGTCCCTTATCCCTCCTTCCTCACTTGCAGACACAGCTAGGGAAAACTAGGAAGGATCGCTGCAAAATGGGACTTCTCTAGATGTATGCACTCAATGGCTAAGAAAGGATTGCTATGGTAAAATGCACTTGAATTTCACGTTTTGCGGAGATTTGAGCAACACAACCCTTAAATAACCCATGGAGAGGGAGTACATTAGTACTTTATCATCATGTAGGGCACTGTTAATTTACAGCAAGACTGTTTTATATGTACTGAGAGATGAAATACTGAGGAATTTCACATGGGGAGCTGTATCAGTATGCAGGCAGCAAACGAACATGACATTTCAGCATGTGTGGCTCCTGAAAATGGCAAAACGTTGGTTTATTTTTTCAATTTTTCAGTGCAGGAATTGACTTCTACCTGTTCTGTGCTGTACTGAAATGTATACCTGCATGTCTGAGCAGATCATTTTGGCACTGGATTTAATGGCATTATTCTGACAGGCAGCTCCCACAGATTGGGAACTCCACCTTACAGCATCTGGGTGCTGTTTAGCATTGGCAACGTACAAGACTGAATTAAGAATGGTTACAACACTTTAAAAAGGTGAAGACAGACTGAATAAAAATGTAAGCCACCACTGCCCGATAATCATGAGGCCACATATCAACAGGGTAAAAGCAGGATGCCTCTGTCAAACTAAAAGGTTATGACTTGATTAAATCTGGCCTAAACATTGTTTTACCATCCAAATTCACTGAACCGTGTAACAGAGAAAACTCAATTTGACTTTTGAGTTACATTACGTCAATACTTTTGAGACAGCGGTAGGGGGGATAACCTAAACTGTAAAGAGGGAGATATTTACAGTTTAGGTTTTACAAAGTGGGAGTCATTTTTTCCATTTCCACCAAAT